CGATGTTAAGCCTAACGAAGATTATTGTATCGTTAAAAATTATTTTTTTATTTTGTACAAACAAAATAAATATATTGAAAAATATAAAAACAATCAAAAATTATACTTCAGAAGTTAATTTAGTATCAAAAACGTAAAATATTTGAATAGCCGAAGACATGGACAAAGATTGCAGCGCCACAGCATTGGCGAAAATTTAAATTTGCCGACTAGAATTCTTTCGGATAATCGACTTTCGGATAATCGACGCTCTACTGTATTAAGGAAACCAAATTAATACTAACAACATCGATTTCAGATTATCACCGTGAAAGAGAAAATAATTTAATTTTTCCGACATTCTCTTTGGTGAGAATTTTCCGATTAGAAACTGGTTACATTCTTTAAATATAAGCTTGTGTAAACAGAGAAAGAAAACTAATAGTCAGCGCATAGTCTAACGTGCAACAGGACACAAAATGAGTGATGGAAATTGTATAGTGGAAATCTCATATTTGTGCAGTAATTAATTGTCAGATTCGAGATTTAATAAGTATTTCTTTTTTCTGATTATGTTAAAATTAAAATATTTGCCTAAATTCTTCAGTGTGCCGTAAAACATGTCCAAAACAGAACCCGAATAAAAAAGAAACCAGTCGAAAACAGAAAAAATTTCGGAACGGAGCAATTTTCTACGTTAATTAAAAAGGAACATGTTCAAAATGGAAACATGCCAAACAGGAGAAAATATTCGGTACCGTGAGATACACAGATTTTACTGTATAGTTTATTTGGCCCACGAAAAATGAGCTAAGCCTATGAAAAGAATGTTTGTAGGATTTGTATTGAATATATACAATTAATATTTTTTATGCGGTTGCAACATCAATATCATCATTTTCTGACACAATTTACCATTGAAAAGTTTTCTGACAAGAAAATGGTTTCATACTGTGTATGGCATGTGTTTGTGCTAGCTTACGCCGAAATAAGCCTATTATGATTGTTTTAAACTCTTCCGCCCTGTGAGCACTAAAAGGGTCTCTTTTAGCAACCTCATTAGGGGTTCGCCAGGCCCACAACGGGGCGGCCGGGTGGTAAGGGACGTGCCCCGACATATCCGGACAGAATTCGCGTTCTCCAGAGCGGTAGGCTGCCACCTTGGCCGTTCGGCCATCCGGCCATCAGCCTATTGTGATTAGTCAATGTATGAAGTTTATTTATACCAGACGATTACGTAAATAATTTGAATATTTGATTCAGATGATTCCTGGTCTTCATGTTAGTTGAATATCTTTTGCACAATTACATATTTATTATAAGTAGATTTATCATTCGCATACAACTGAACTTTCGGCTCCCCGCTCTGGTAAGTCGAGATAGAATCCGCGTTGCGATTACACTGTGGCGTACCGTAGTGGGGGCGGCACTTTTTAGGGGGCGGCAAAATTTCACAATAAATAATAATAATATCTTGTAAAAATTTGAAACATCCTAATTTATACTTGCATCGCGCCTACGATAGTGCTATCGTCCGGATCCTGCGAAACCTGTTAACCTTTTTTTTTGCTTGTACGATTCATTCGGGTTCATATACACCACTAATGTCCAATAGAACTATTTTAAACAGGTCGCTGCACTACCATCAAATGTTTCATTGCTTGTTCTGTGACAAAACTGAATTTTGGTCTTTTAAATTGAAATACCTAAATAAGGGGGGGCTGAAATTTTCCTCCGCCCCGGGCGGCTGACACCCACGGTACGCCACTGCGATTACATATATTTTATGAGTAAGTTTACTGGTAACTTTTGAGATCTCAACTGCAGATGAGGTGACTATTCCGTAGGATTCTGCTCTATGCGACTACTGCTGAACCTTGTTAGAATGCCGCGACTGCACCCAATTATCAGAATTGTTCACGGATGGGTTGGTCTGGATATGCCGGTTCCGCCGCTTAACTACCCAGTCAACCATGATACGATAGGCAGGCATTTCGGGTCTCAGTATTTAGTGACCTCCTCACACTTAATACAGAATCATTCTTAAACAGCGTTCGTTTTATTTATATAAATTTAAGTAATTAGGCTTGCTTTTCATGGAAAATTATAGTCTAATATTTAGAAGTAAAATAAAAGAAAAAATTGTAAGATTGAATAATGTTGAAAGCTTTCCTATTTAATACATAGGGGAAAATTAAGTAAAATCTAAAAATAAATTAAGTAAAACCTTTTTTAATTGATAAAATAACTATATTTTTAAGTAGATTTTAAATATTGATTATGAATATTTTCACCAGATGGCGATAAAATCGAAAATTTAGAAGAAGAATTATTAATCGAGTATAATGTATAGAATTATAAAATTTAATTTTAAAAATTCGATAATACTAAAAAAAGAAATTTTAGTTTTTAAATTTAAATAAAATATTATTCATTTAAAATTAAACAACATCAGCTTTTTTTTTAATATTTAATTTTTATTTAGTAATACAAGATATCCATAAAGTCCGTGTGCAATTTTAAAAATTTATAACTTTATTAGTACTTGTGATAGAAAAATTCCGTAAAAAGTATTAGAAAGCTTAATGTACGTAGTTTTAAGTAAAATTATTTAGTAACTTTTTAATAATTTAACAATTTTTCGAAACTTTTAAAAATACTATTTTCCAGAATTACGTGTGACCCGTGGTTTCAACTGAAGAAAAAGTAAACTGTGTCCTTTAGTTGGCTGAACTGAAATTTACTGTTGCTTTACATAATAGATTTTCTATTTTCCAATACATCATACATAATTTCTCTATCACAAGTACTAATAAAGTTATAAATATAAATTGCACACGGACTTTATTGCTTACGTTGATTTTTATATTGAATATCGAAATTGACTTTAAAATTTTATTCTAAATATAATATAAATATTTTAAATGGTTTCGAATCTTCGGTTTAGAATCAGAGATGACAAACATTTTTTAATCGGATAATCAGTCCCATTTCAAAGGGCTGTCATAAAGCTGCACATTGTATTACAAATTGCTTA